GGTCTTCGTGAATCAGTGTTTGTAGTGTTTTGTTTTCGTCGAGTATTTTTGGTAGTTCGTCATGTTAATCATCATCAATCATATGTTCAAACATGGTGTCCAGGTCGTCTTGATCACTGTGTTGAGGTAATGTTTTATCTACACCAAGCGGTTTTTGTCATGTTTCATCTTCGTCAATCATTTGTTGTAATATACGGTCCGAATTCCGTCTCATCAGTTTATAAAGTATCAACCATCAGTGTTTGGTCACTAGTATCTGTCGTTGTTGTGTCTGTCATTTGGTTGTTGATGGTTGTTCCATAACCGACTTCTTTGACGGACCCACCACACGCTCCTTTGCAACATGCCATTTTAAACTATCAAGGCATCCGTATATACGCTACATAAGGAGCACGTGTGTCTTTGGTTATCATGGAAGCTCCTGACATGTTGGCTGAGGTTAACAAGTCACTTAAATATTTTATCACAAAGCAGGCAGGGGTATGTCTAGGGTATGGTCATGATATATCTGAGGAATATGAGAAAAAATAACGAATCAGAGTAACATCAGGCGAAATCTACAACAGACACAAATAACCAGACATACATACAGACACATAGACAATCGCACACACAGAGAGGTGGAAAGACTAGTGAACATGAGGGCAAACAGATGGAGAAACAACAGACAGAGAATCACACATACATAGTGACAGATACAGACAGCTGGTAGGATGGAACAACAGAAAGGGGAAATGATTGTTTAGCTAGAAAGCATGTAAGTGTACTATAAGAAATTGTCAGGAGAGAGAGACAGAGAGAAAGAGTGAGAGAGAGAGTGTAAGAGAAACAGAGAGAGAGAGATATAGACAGACAGACAGAGAGAGAGAGAGAGAGAGAGAGAGAGAGAGAGAGAAAGAGGAGAACTAATATACTAATTTCTTAGGTCAGCAACACTGAGCAAGAAAGGTCAAGTTTGAGTCGTACTGTTGTCAGGTGAATGGCACTTCTTCACACAGGCAGTCAAAGGGAAGCAACACACGTAAAAAATAAAAGACAGCCACGGTGAGAATGAAGAGAGAGAAAGAAAAAGAGAGAGAGAGAGAGAGAGAGAGAGAGAGAGAGAGAGAGAGAGAGAGAGAGAGAGAGAGAGAGAGAGAGAGAGAGAGCTATGCAGATGAGTTGTAAAATCAGTGGGATTAAAAAAACAAACTAGGAGACCAATGACAAATTCAACAGAGTGCCAAAATATATTTAATACAATCCCTTAAATTTAACAGCCAATTATATATGAAATAACTATTTAAGAAAAACATATAATAAATAACAAAAACTATCTGAAATAACAGCAATGGATATGTAAAACACCTGTACTAGATAAACAAAATCAGAAAGCAGTTTAGAACACTCTTTCTCTTTATTTGGAGAAATGTGTAGGATTATACACTCTGGATGTGAAACAGATATACACTTACACATTTGTGTAAATCACAGCACAAGTCTGAGGGCAGAGATTCCACATGTTTACACATTTTAGAACACTCTAAGACCAAGTTTATTTCAGCATTAAACAAGTTTGTTATATGAACGAAAAATATATTAATAACATACTAAAACCTATAATGAAAGAAAGCAATCTAGAATATGCATTTATTTATAAAATTAAAAATATACACAAACAACCATATTAATCAATTTGAAATTTTTAATTCATACACTACTTCTATGCTGCTGTAATATGTGGTTATTTAGCTGGAAATAAATTGGCTACATTCCAAACTATGCTGCCCACTGATTTCTTGAGCCAAAGGAGTAGGGAAGACACTGAGCCAGTGATTAAAAAGGTGTTCTGGGTCAGTGAATACATGACCTCGGTGGCAATGGCCTGTTGAGATACACATCAAATCTAATTATGTCCGCACTTTAAGTTGTTCCATCTATTTATCTGGTGAGCATTTTATGCATCTGTCGACACATATTTATTGTTGATGTGATTACCCTTCTTTCTGACACACTATATTATCTCTAAATTCCCCAAAAACTTACTTAACACAATGTATGACTATCAGAATTATCAGAATCTATGACTAGGAAAGGAAAGAAAATGATGTACACAAATACAATCAAAATATTTGTGAAGAAATAAAACAACAGGAATCATAAACTAACAAACAACAATGTGACAAAATAGGATCAGAAGGAGTTTCGCAAACAAAATCATACATTTTAAACCTATTTTTCACATTACTGTTCTAGATGACTTTCGCGGTCAATTTTTTGTTTGTGTATGATTCCTGCTGGTTTAAAAAAATTTTTTTTTATTAAAGACTAAGGTAAAAAAAATTCAAGGTATTTTTTTTTTGCATGTCTTTTCTTTTCTTTTAACATCACTGATTACTACTTACTGTATATAAGTTGAACAAGACAATTGACAATAGCAATCCCTGAGGAAGGCCAGGGCAAAAGCATATTGGATCTGATCTCCATATTACCAAACAAAACACCACTGTTCTTTTCAAAAGTGCTGCCCCCATCCAATTAGCCAATTTGACATTAACAGCATTCAGGACAAGTCCACATTAGCTTCTCCCCCACCCCAACAGCCAGCGAAGATTTTCTATACTAAATGTTGAATTAAGAATCAACGTCATAGCACTCGAGACACCCCATAAGCGCTCCATCCCCATCTTAAGCAGCAAATGAAGAGTTCCAGTTATGATGACACTGGTACCTTTCTGATTGTGTATCTGTCTCACCCTTCCCCTGAGTGTTGAGTGTCGGCCAGATACCCTGGTAACTGGTAATCCTAGTCCCTGGTAACACCTCATAGCGTCATTCTCCTCAGACTGTAATGATCTATTTGTGCTTCCGCACTGTTCACTCTCTTCCAGAAGCCCTCACAACGTCTAGCTTGTCAAAACATCAATTCGCCACCAAATGATGCAGAACAAACCAGTCTATCTGCCTGCTCATTTCCCAACACACCAGGATGACCTGGAGATAATATCCAAAGAATACTAACTACCCAGGACCTTTAAAGTATTGCTTGCCACTCTGCACAGAGCATACCTGTCTCCACTTTTCTCAACATGCTCTGTGAGTCAGTGACAATCACGGCACATGTGTACAACTGATTCTCAAAGCAGCAGTGACTGCTCCCACTGCCTTTCTCAAACTAGACATTGTGATATCATATGCCAGACTTCGTTGCACTAAGCGACGTCCATTTGCCTTTGCTATAAACCCTCATACACTTCGTCTGCCCCTCAACACAGAGCCATCTGTATAGATAATCACATAACTTGGGCGGGAATTGTCATGAATTATTTGTTGAACTTCTGATTTTGCAGCGCCAGCTGGCCAGTCCCTGCACTCACGACTCAAAGTGATAAGAACCCTGCATTGCACAAGTTTAAAACTTGCTCGGACAATTTGATCCACTCCTCACCTCACACAAATTTGTCAAGCCTTCACACATGTCTGATTGTGTCTTCAGCTTGCGCCATCCAAGACCATTCTCTTCAGTCACCTACTCAGTGATTTATTACCTCAAATTTCGCTCATAAAATGTTCCAATTTAGCCTTTTTTTTTGCATCTGCTGCACACTGCTTGAACTCTTCTGCTTTTTCTTTTTTATCTCTTTATAGCTTTTCCACATCCTCTTCTAACCTATGAGGTACCTTTCGCACTTTCTGTAATTGCTTAACTGCTGCTTACTTTGCTCTCCATATCTTTGATGGTTCTCCAATTTTTGCTGGCATATGTTAGAACTGAAATAACATTAGAAGGGAAGACTCGCAGTTTGGTTTTAAAGCTGTATAACTTGGAGCTCCATATTTTGTTAAGGCATTTAGAGAATGTTATTGCTTTGCCTATCATAATTTCCTTCGCTGTATCTCCTCAAAAGTTAAAATTGCTACCCAATTAAGTGAAATAGTCTGTTACTTTTACTGGTTTGTTCTCTAGCTTGACATCTACATGATCTGTTGTAGGAAGCTTTAATATATTTGTCATATATATATATATATATATAAACTTCAAACATTTATAAACTGGTTCCTGCACAGAACAGAGGAAATTAAATGGTATGATAGAATCACTAATGTTGAGCTTTGGGAGAGAACTAAACAAGTATTAGTGGACCAAGAGGTGAGGGGAAAATGCTGGCGTTTGATAGGACACACGTTGAGAAAACCTGAGAACAATATAACTAGACTGTCCTTGCACTGGAACCCACAAGTGGCAGAGAAATAAAGGAAGACCAAAAAACACACAGAGAAGGTAGTTAGAGGATGAAGTTAAAAAGATGGAGAGAACAGGGGGTGACCTGCATGAAACAGCAAAGGATAGAATGACCTGGTGTGTTGGTTGAGGGCCTATGCTCCATTAGGGGATAGAAGGAAGAAAAAAAAAATGTGTCAACATGTGCTAAACTGTCATTTACTGCCTCATTCACATGTATAAACACACGCATACACCCCCTTCCCTGGCATACAGACAAATAAAACTATATTTCTCTTTCTCAAACCTTCAAATGTACACATGCATAATCCTCAAACGATACACACTGTTATACACACACTCACAAGCATGAGCATGTTTGCATACAAATTTCCATTAAGATACTTTTAAATATAAACATCCTTTTATGGACTTTGCAAACTAAACCCAGCATTTGTTAGCCACTGCATGGTTTAATCAGGCAATTTTCATTCAGTGGTTTGAAAACAATCTTTACCAGTTGGGAGTTTAAATAATCTGGACACAAACAATGTTATACAATTTGCTGCCTGGCCTCTGATCCTGAAAGGCAACAAATAGTACAATTTACTGCTTGTGTCCTGATTATGTTAATTCATTTACATTTTTTATTGTAAATACTACAGTGTTTGTACCGTTGTCAAAATCAGTGGAAAGTGGCCTGTTACAAAATCACCTGCAACTGACTCATATATAGCTTTGTATTTCTTTCAGATTATACACACAAATGTGAACATTTTCAAATGGTCTTTGTGTAATATTAAAATTCATCATGAACATTTGCAGCAAAATTGACCAGCTTGCTAGAGATAAAGATATCTGAATGTTTCAGGATTTCAGCCACAGAAAGCAAATTATCTTTGTCATCATCCATTAATGACATCAGAGTTGCAGCTTCCAGTTTGGCTTGGACTGGATTTGTTGGATCTAAGTAATTCTGTAAAACAAAGTTGTGTGAAATGCTTTATAAGTCTGTATGATCAGCTTTATAAGAACACAATTATAAGTGGCAGACTGAACATTTCAGTTACACAACCTTCATCAACGTACTTTTCCTCTTCTTCTTCGTGTCCACCAGCTGTAAACTCTGGTGGAAAGTTCTTGTTGTCTGTGCACTTCTGCACTTTAGTCTTGATCCCGAACTTGCGTTTTGAATACACATTTGTTTTACAGATTCGGCTTACTTGTATGCAGACTGTTGGCTTTCAGGCATTATAACCTAGAAGGAAACCCCCTAATTAGTCAATTTTTACCACAAGCTTGTTAGGCAGACAGTGTGTCTACACCCCCCCCCCTCCCCCCTAAGTGTCAGTGCCCCAGGATTTGGTGCACAGCTATTCAACAGTCTAGCAAAACCAGGAAAAGATCATTCAAGCCTCTGAGATTTCAAGGTTATCAATCTTCAAAATACTTTTGGCAAGGTGCTGGAGAAGATTTATTGCTGTTTAACTGCAGGTTTAAAAAAAAAAAATTAAAATTAAAGAGTCTAGAGGTCTGGGCAGTTAGCAGGGAAAGATACTTAGTCAAATGCGGCCACATTTGCCTTCGATGATTATTAGGTGTTCCAAAATAGACAGGAGATGGTGGTGACAACTTGATCCTAATGATGCCTACAATAGGGCCAGATATGATAACCTGATATTTGCGCTCAAGGAGAAGGGGGTATGTCCTTGCCTTGTGAACTGAATAGCAACTGTCCTGCATCACATCAAAGACTTCAGGTGGCCAAACCTCCTGACCCATCAGGATCTGGTGCAGTGTCTTTTGCTTTTTTTTCAAATCATGTCTTCATAATGCTTATTCTTTAAGGTGCCAGCTAACTCCTCTCTAACTGCATCCCTGATGTTCACATCGTTATGATCTGTCTGAGCTATAAACCTATTGAGAAAAGCTTCCTATTTCTCCTTGTCTGTTGTTATACGTATGCCCAAATGATGTAATTATCTATACAGATGGCTCTGTGTTGAGGGGTAGACGAAGTGCATGGCGGTTCATAGCAAAGGCGAATGGATGTCACTTTGTATAGCAAAGTCTTGCATATGATATCAATTTGAGAATGGAGTTGGAGGCAGTCTCTGCTGCCTTCCACTGGCTTTAGAATCAGCTGTACACACATGCCGTGACTGTAACTGACTCACCTAGCATGTTAAGAAAGGTGGAGACAAGCAAGCTTCGTGCAAAGTGGCAAGCATTAATTCAGAGGTCTTGTGTTATTAGTATCCTTTGGATATTTTCTCCAGGTTATACCAGTGTGTTGGGAAATGAGCAGGCAGATACACTGGCTGGATCTGCACCACTTGGTGGTGAACTGATGTATGACAAGCTAGGTATTGTGAGGGCCCTTTGGGAGCGAGTGAACAGTGTGGAGGCGCAGATAGATCATAATGGTCCGAGGAGAATAGCGCTGCGAGGAGTTACCAGGGGATCTGGCCGACGCTCAACACTCAGGGGAAGGATGAGACGGATATACAATCAGGCAGTTACTGGTGTCATTGGAATTGGAACTCTTCACTTGCTGTTGAAGATGGGGATAGAGCGGTTATAGGAATGTCCTGAGTGCTATGATGTTGATTCTTAGTTCAACATTTTAGTTAAGGAGTTCACTTTAGTTACTTTGTGAGTAATAATATGGAAGTATTTCTGTGAGGGACATTTGAATGTATGGAGGACAGTTCCTACAAGATGGGCAAAAAGCTTGATCCAGAAGGTATTACAAGGCTGGGTTCAGACCAATACCTTAGCTTCACCATCATTATCAGGAGCCCTTCCAGATTCTAATAGCAGACAGAATTGGTCTGGAGTCATTCAACTGTACTAGCCTCAGCTGTTTTGCTGAACCTTTACGAGGACTACAGTCGCTGTGTGGACAATGTCTACTCATTGAAGGAAACCAGTGAAACTCTTGGGCTGAATCTACCGGATGTCTGAACTAGCGCTAGCATTCTGTCATAGAATGTTTCACTCTATAATTCTATAATTAGATCATCTACAAAATGTAAAGTTCGCCGTGGTCTACATACCAGGTGGCTAGACCAGAGGATTCTCATAAACTCTGATGTTTAGGTCAAATGTTTGTGTTCTTTATCTGACAGTAGTCACAAATACTAGTGGGGCATAATGGACAGGGTAGATGAAGTAGGAATAGAGCACAGTAAACTGATGATGTTGAACTGATTCTAGGAGATCCATTCTGGGTATTGGAGACTTTTATCTTTGATAACTCATATATGTTCTGTGATAAGAATTCTTAATTTGATCTTTATATTATCTGAGGGTTCTACTGAAGCTTATTTGTTGAATGACCACTATCTCTTCAAAGCGTCTTTGAAGTTCTTGTGTTGAGTACCTGAGATAGATGTAAATAATATCTTCTTAATACTGTGTGCTTCTCATATAATCCTTGGGTAGTATACATAGGGGCATATTAAAGTGGTAAGAAAGTTTGACTAGCCCAGTACAACAATAAGGAGAAGACGGTTGTAAAGGTGCTATGTTGCCTTATCCTGGCGGAGGTGTTAACTGGTTTTTGAGATCTTTAAAGGGCACCCCTTAAGACTAACAGATAAGCCACCAGAGAACATCATACCTCCACTGAGTGGTGAGTCATTCTGTTCAAGAGTAACAGAAAGTGAAGACCACCATGAGACACAATTGTGTTCCTGCTGCACCGAGTGCTTGGTGACCGGACACCTGGTAGAGGATATGTAATCCTTAACAGGAGTCAAGCGATCAAACCTAGTGAAGCTGCAGCTGTAGCGATAACTAGTGTGGATCTAGCCCTAAATTTGACCACGGTCAAAGGGGTATTTACTGTCAAGACAGCAAGAGCTGTACCCTGACAGACATAAAATTGTGTGTACCCATTTAAGATAATAATTGTTTATCTGGAAACTTACTGAACAAAAAAGCTTTGGAAAAGCTAAAGGAAGAGGGAAGATGAAAGTTCACAGATCCCAGCTGCAGACATCCTTCTGTGAATCTGAGACTGGTGGAGTGCTCTGGCAAAGTATCTCCACCTGACTCTCGTAAAAGACAGTTGAAGGTGACAATGCCTGATTTCCATAGTCTGATTCTCTTATCCTCAATCTGTAGCTGATCACATACTACAAAAAGTGATGATGTACTACAAAAGGTGAATGACTTACTGTAATTGAGAGCATGCAAGATTATTCTTTACCCTGCTTACACAAAGGTAAGCGGAGGGTGTCTCAGGCCTACTGCAAGATTCTGAGATCTTATGAAGTTCTTCTAAAGTCTGAGTGTTCCCTTAGGACCAAGAGCAAACATAATTTATACTATAAGAAATTGCTGGTAAACATGGGGGGTTAAAAGGGTTAGCCATTCCCTGGATTCATTTAAAATGAGATACCTTACTTGGGCACATACTCTAAAATAATATGTTTGTCACAACAACTGGCCAATAGTCAGTTTCTTACACTGCTCACTGATTTAATCCAAGAAGAGTCAACCAAGAACTTTGTGGACACATCCTCTGACAACAGATGTTTGTTTCACTGAGTTGAGAAACCAGTAGCTAAAGGAACTGCCTGAAAGCTAACTTGATCTACTGGGACTCACTCACACAGCAATAAACTCTGTAAGCCCAGACGCCCTACCAGTTAAGTTAGGAACTAGAACCAGGTAAGGAGTTTGCTAAACTGTGTGCAATCAGGCAAGATATTACATTCTGTGTCTTGGCAACCCCAACAAGGGAGAATTCCCTCAATTCATCAACTAATGATATGCACAAGACTCAGTCTATGGATGAGACTGAGAAGTCTTTTAACTGTCATAAGCAGTGCTCTCTGTATTTCACACGTGGGAAGGGATGCACTCAGGCAGGTGTGGCAGATACTGATCAGACCACTTCGTTCGACCGAACTTCACCAGCAAAGGTGAGGAATACTCAGATAAGCAGACAGCTAATCCTGCCATCTTCTGAGAACAAGCTTTGTTTTAACTTTAAGCAGATTCGCTTTTACCCGTTGGAAAAAGGATACCAGTCTTGACTGGCATTCAAGGAAACATTTTCTTTACTCTAGATGTCCACAGCAGATGGTAGATGGAAACTGAATTAAGCAGTTAGGTACCTAGCAGAGACATTGTCCAGGTCACCTTTTGTTTGAGTTTGATATATGCACATCAAACTTATTTTTGTTGGACATTTGTCATGAGGTGCCTTGAGATAATGTCTCCTGCTTTATTAAATAGATAGCAATAATGTAACGCTGTTGGATTTTTCTTTAATAATGTACCACCCTTGCGATATACGGCAGCGGAGATACAGGACAGTTCGCTAAAAGGTAAGTCCTGGACTTCTTTTACTGTCAAAACAGGAGAGCATGTTTTCTAGCGACTTTCAGGAGGTCTCTAGATCTCTATTTGCTTCAGTGGGAAGACATATGAGCAGAACGCCCTGACTAAAGAATGCCAGCCGGCAGTCAGTTAAGTCAAAAGTAATCTGTCTGAAGCAATTTTATATGATCATACTGAATCCCTGTCAGGGGTAAGTCAATTACCACCAGCTAACCTGATCTACTTACACTATCACTGTAATTCTTCCACCATTCATGCTAATCATTCTGTCTGTAGATTCTTTTAGAAAAACGGTGCGATCCTCGTGTAGGAGATAGCTATCATTGCCTACTCCTATAGTTCCTATCACTAACACCATGCTCATGTATAATAATTGTATGTAAACATTTTATTATGTAAATTCTTATTTGATTCAATTTTGTTTAATAACTCTCTGAGGCCCGAACAACACTGTGTGTTGTTTGAGAAGTACCGATTGGCCCAAGCACCCTGTCTGCGCTGACCGTGTGTCTTGTACATGTTGATTCGCATACGGCTCAGTATTCGTTTCTAATGTTCAGAATGACCATTAAAGTATTCAGGGAAGGTTACTGTAACATTTTTCTTTGTACATAAGTCTTT